ACAATCTAATAGGCGCGGGGACAAGATCACAGCTACAACTAAGCCATCAAATTCAATATCGGAAACCATCTTTAGCTCCAATGATCCTGCATATTAGCCTTATACTGTGTTCTCGTTAGACATTTCGAACTTCTGAAATGCATAGACTGGTAGAAAAGGAGGCTTCTCTTCTTCCAAGCCTTCCGAGAGTACTCCTGTCACTCCAACGGCCTCATAGTTTTAAGATCCGATACCTGAACCAAGAGAATAGGGGTTTCAGCTGTCAAAAACTGCCTCTTGTTTTGTATGATATGCTTTTCCGGTAAGGAAAACTTTCGTAATCCTGAACTAAAATTCAAGGCGGCAAGAAAAGAATATTTACTTAATAGCCAGCTGAGTCGATTGTACTTATATAGAGGCTATGATTGAAGGGGTAGTTTTGATGAAAATTAGGATCTTGACTTTCGCTGCCCTTTCATCTTGTGACAGCAGCTACGATCTGCCGACATTTCATCCTAGGATACAGCCCCAGAAGAAGACCTTTGTAATCGAGGTTCTCCCACTCGCCGTCACCGATTCTGTAACCCCTATCCCCAGGGTAATTTGCTCCTTAGAAAAGATATTGAGTCTAGGGATCCTCTCAGAACCTATCGGAGTACACCTTGACACTGAATCTTTACTTTTTGGTCAGTCGCAGTACTTGGACAATAGGTCTTTAGCAAGAATAAAATTGGCAGGAAGATCGCTGCTCGCTAACAAGTTGTCAAGATCGACTTCTTGATTGGGAGAAGGTGGAACTAACATGTCTTACATCGCTAGAGAGGCGAGAGCAATGCATCAGGGAGTCATGATTTCAAGGCAACAATAAGCGAGTCAATAAATTACTCGTTAGGGAGACTTGAGGGGCTCCCACTGCTGGATAGAGATAGGTGTCTACAGTAGTCAAAAGAGTGTTATAAGTTGATGGCTAAGCAACTAAAACTAAGAGAGCGACTAAATACACAGGAAATAATTTCGTATATGTATAGGTACCGATGTATATGGTTCCGGGAGGATAAAAGGGGTCGATGAAGTCGATGGGGAAAGCTTTTATCACGTGATTCCTTATGGTGTTTCAGTGAGAGGCGAATAGGGGCATTTTGATGCACCCTACTTTAGTATCCCATGACACCCTTGCAAATTTTGTTCATTTTAAACGCCATAACCTTCTGTTCAGCAACAATCCTCTCACGACTGAGCACACTCTTCATGACGCTATCTCCGGAGGCGAAGTGATCCGAACGAAGAATCGGTGCAAGTACAATCCTTACTGAAAAGGGATTAGCTTTGATGTATTTTCATAAGGTTTTGATATGTCAAAATGTGTGGTATAGAACTGTAGGTGCATAGGAGAAGACGGATAAGGGGTTGGAGGGTAGGACGAGAGCCACGTACCTGCTGCTGGGCGTCGTGGACGGCTTTACATAGCCCTGTCATGTTATCATGAGTGGAGAGTTTGTCCAAAAGAACAGTATCGCCAGCGCTGACGCTGATGGTAGCTGTGTGACCCTCGACTGATTTGGGCTTATCCATAATAATCATGTCAAATCGGGAATCGGCCTTACGAAGGGCGTCTCGCAGCTGGGTCGTGTTATCATGACACGAGGACGGCCCCCAGATAATTCGGCCCTCATAGGTAAGCATGCATTGCTTTGTGTGGCCTTCGACGGAGTGTGACTTCGGATCAAGCCAGGCTCTGGTAGACATGATTCAGGTTTTTTTTTTGTTTGGGGAGTGTAGAGATATGATGATAATAATCGGTGGTGATAGCTATGCAACGACAACGGTCTAAGCTCTCGTTTCTTGTAGGCGGTTTAGTTTATAATATATATATCGAACAGAACAGGAAAAAATTGATAATGACATTACCTTCGGACTGTTGTCCTCGGAGACACTCCTACCCCCGATTATCTACGAACTCATATTCTAGACACCTGTTGTTTCATCCCAGCTCTCCACTTCATGATACCATATTCCTGTAAACGGATATGTATTTGGTGATCACATATAATATTGACTGACATCTGATTATGCGTGAGGACTTTTGAGGTTAGTATGCTTATACTATTAGCTGGATACGGTAACCCGCCTAGCGGTGTAAACACGGTAGTTTTAGACAGAGTCTCGATTCCTACGAATGATAGCTGTGGCAGCCTCCCTACCCACTAAAACGCCTCACGTTAGTGTGAATTAGTGAGGTCAACCACGCGTGATGGCTTCAGCCTCCGGGCACGGAGTTATACGGGCGCTAGATAGCCCGAGGGCTCTGGTGGCATAACTGGTGGTTATACTACGCTAGTGAAACATGACAGACCGCTTGGTGAGCTCTTAGAGACTTATCATCGTAAGTGCTTTTCTGGACGGAACCGTCCTTGTCAAGCAAACTGGACACACACGAGTTAGCTAACTTATTTATGGCCGTATTATCACTTAATAGCGGCGACAAGGGGGTATTGTCAGTATATTGCTTTGTGTCAAAGGTTAAAGATATCAGGGAGTCTTTAGAAATTAATCTTTTACTCGTGTGCCTTGGTTTATATGCGTTTTCCGCTGATAAAAAGGTTTAGGGTGTGGGACTGTTGTCTCTGCAGTTAGTCGCATTCTTTTGCTGATTTTTTCTCGCTGATCTTAGATTTATCGCGAAGCCCCCACCTAGTTTCTGCATATCCATATTTATCATGAGCAGCTATCGGATGCGTAGGTATGCAGGAGGCAAGCTCGTCGATAATACTCGGCTCCGAATTTCCCGCACGGTGGCAAGCGGAATAGGAAAAGGAGATCTGCAACTCGGCACAATGAATCGCATTTATATATCGTGTTAGGCCGCTTGTTGTAGAACATGAATACTTACAAATAATGTAAAAGAATGCTGATGGTGCGTGCCATATTTTGAAGTGTTCGAGCATTCCCACATATCTTCTAGAGGCACGTTCGTTGATATTGAGCGAGCACATCCTTGACAGTACAATGGCCAGTCAGAGACGTAAGACTGTATATGACGGTTCATATGGCTATTATCGGTTGTAAGTTCTAAGGCGTAGATAAACTGAATGATGCTGGCGAGGGATTCGGTTTGGTACATATTTCTTCCCATGCGACATATCGGCATGGTTATTCCATTCGCTAGGGCTGTTAATATTAAATCTTTAAGTCTTAGAAGTAGACATTTAGGGCATGGAAAAGATTGACCGAATGTCGTCTCTTCGGTATGTTTCGCCTTGCAATGTTTAGGTACCTACCTATAGGTACCTGCTAATTAGGGTGCTTCGATCATAAAATTGTATTCTGCATAGAAAGCAATGAATTCGCCTCCCTTAAGGATGATTAACAATATTAAGCTGTGCTTTTTCTTTTTCCTTGTCGTCATCTACTTTGTCCTTATTACGAGTAGTAACTATCGCATTTGTTACCTAGGTATCTGCGCTTGAGGATGGCCGACACGCTTGAAATATTTAGCCCTCTTATCTTCCAATTTCAATCGCGACAGAACTTTTAGGTCGATTATCAACCAGGCACTTCTTCTGTCAATTTTAAGGTTGCAACAACTTTCTAAGTATTGATATGTGGGTGTAAAGAATGTTGTATTGGAAAAGATTCTAATGACTCCACTTATACTTAGTCAAATCTTATATATGCCCTTAGGCCATCGTACCTTCAAACAGTATTTCTTTAGGATAATAAAAGTATCGAACCATTTTAGAGTTGAATTAAGGTTGAGCCCACCAATTCCACTATGCTACTAGGCCACTAGGCCACTAGGCACGGGCCGTGGTGGAGCGACTCACTCGCCGTAGCATAGCATTAGGTACATAGTCGGATCCACCAGTATGGGAACATGCCCCATAAAACTACAGGTTGACATTCGCATTTCAAAAGTGCCTAAAGCAGGAAATATTCCTAAATACTATGTAAGCAAGCGGTGCTTAGGTACTTATTAGATGGGTAATGTAGTACTTCGTACGGGGTATTGTTTTTAATATCCTGTTTTTAGCCTTAAATAACATACCTTTTAAAAGTCGAGCATATATCGTTTTACATTTATCAACACATGTAACATTTACATAACCACTTAAGATGAAAAGGGACAAATAATTATTTAATATTTATGGTATAGTAAAAACTACTATCTTGTTTTAAATATCGACTAATTTATTTAACACTGTTTGTTTAATGTCGTTTTATTACAATATTAAATAACTAATACTTATGTTTCAAGTTGCATAACAGGTACCTAACCTACTTAAGTACCTAACTATATTTAAAGCTTTTCAGAAAGTATGCTTTACACCATTGCAATATTACAAAGCGGCATCAAGATGTGGATAAGCTATTATAATGGGCTATGTAGCACAAAATATAACGGTATATACCTCTTAATCTTAAAGCTAGTTTATTTCAATCATCACCTTAAATGTAGCACTCAACTTTCCATGTTGTATAACGTAAAAATCATGCTATCCTTGTTGCTTTTTATGCGTGGGCTGGATTCGTATCCTTGCTAGCGTGTATTCCCGTTAATACACTAGGTACCTATGTACCTAATATATATACATACATACTGGCGGATAGACCCGCGGCCCCTCCCCCACGTTTTTCTTTCTTCTTTATCTTAAAAAGGGGTAAGACAATACGTAAGCGGGTCTAGGGTGGTCCCCCCCTCGATCAGCTAAACATCATTCTTCTATCGTCATTTATACTCCCCAACATGCATTCTCGTTTCGGTTCACATAGGCCCATATGCACGTTTTACAAGTTTAACGTTCAATTTTATTGTTATATCTTAGGTACCTACCTATGTAGTAAGACCCAAAAAGCGAGCGATCCTATGTACTAAGCTCAAGCTGCTAGGTATGGGAAAGATTAACTGAAATCAGACTCCTTGTCATTTCCGTAAGCACTACTCTGAAAGCAGACATCCGCCGCCATATGTTCGTTCCTTTTCCCTAGCCCCGCATGATTCTTACAGCCTACAGGATGATAATTTACTCCACAGCAGGTACAGCAGGTCCAACTAGGACGCACGAATCCAAAGTCAACGTGCTACCGTTGATATAATACGCTGCCGGCGTGCAGAGATATAGACAGGCAGATGCTACCTCGTAGGGTGCAATCAGACGCCCAGCAGCAGGTAGCTGCTCGATGAGACCACGCAGTTGAGGAATTCGGTTATACTCCTCGTGGGACATGGGGGTGTCAACCCATGAGGGGCAGACCTGATTACACCGAATGCCGAGTGCCTTGTAGTCAACAGCTAATCTTCTTGTCAGCAATATGTATGGTAGTAACACGAATCGGCATTATACGTACCGCAGGCTCGGGTAAGTCCTCCAACAGCGTGCTTAGAAGTGATGTAAGCCACCTTGTTGGGTAGAGCGCTAATTCCCAAGATAGAAGAAATGTTGACGATCGATCCACGACCGAGGTCTTTGACGCCGTGACGTCCTAGCTCAATTTTGGCCGAGTCTTGAGCCTTCATGACCTTAGCAACGGATTGAGTGACGTATAATATGCTCTTGGCGTTAATGTCGAACACGCGATCAAAGTCGGCAATATCCGCTTGATCGAACGGAACGTTTCTGCGGCCATCGACCTAGCCATCGATACTCGTCAGTATGCTGCTTTACGTATGGGTATCATTGTGAACTTACACCGGCGGCGTTGACGACGTAGTCGATCCTGCCAAACTCCTTGACTGCAACGTCGACCATCTCTTGCACTGACTTAGGATCCGTCACGTTCACCTTCACAGCCACTGCTTTGTAGTCCTTAGCTAGAGCTACTTTTTTGCTGCTCTCGGCAGCTTTGACGGCTCCTTCATAGTTGATATCGGCGAAGAGAACACCCCTCGAGCCTGCCTCAGCAAATGTGGCACCGAGCTCTGTACCAATACCGCCACCAGCCTATTCAAAAAGGAGTCAGCACTATGTTATAGGGTTCTTCTGTTTGGATAATACGTACACCAACTAAAATGGTGTAACCGCTAACTTGAAAGGCTGCCATTGTAGATAAATATATGAGCAAAATTGAAGTCCTACTGGAAACGGATATATATCAAATGTAGATTGGTGTTCGTAATGTCTGGAAGGGAACCTGTTTGTATAAGTAGCTACAGGAGAGACAAAAAGGAGAGAATCCACGTGTTTAAATATTTCTTTGTCTATAGCTACGTCTTTGCCCAGAAGTCAGCTGTCACCTCTACGTGTCTCGGCATGGTACTCAAAACGCATTGTTACGCGGGGAGAACGGCCGCTTCTTACAATGCTTCAACATACCAGTGACGTATAATCTGATGGTCACGCTGCTAAACTCCAAAGAAAACCACCATTATCATGCCCAATTCGGCGATGTAGGTAGTAACGCCGATAGGATCCCAGGGAACGGACTACACGTGTCAGCCCGAACCAAAGAAACAGTATAGGGCTAGAACTGAAATGCTACTCTTCGGTCACATCCGGTAATCTAATGCTTGTCTCAGTGTACGCCTAATGTGAGTTATGACGAGCCTCAAGCTCAGGTCGTAGTTATTAAAAGTTTTCACGAATCTATCCTAAGTAATACTTTTATAACAAGGCTGATGATGAGTTATTCTCGAAGGAATATCTAGCAATAGCCTCGAAGTCTTAGATGACGTCCGTGTTGGTATATGGGTCACTTAGTACGTTCTTCCTAGTCCCCGAGCGCTAAGTCCTACTGCTTATGAACGTGCGACATTTGTTCAGGGATTCCTTCCTATAATATGACAGGTCGATTTATTATCCAGGGCTGGCGTGCATACATATGTATGGCACTTCTGGAATGGCCTGGATGTCACCATGAGCCTATCTAGTTGCTACTTACCTCATATCATACTACCTAGCCGGTTACCAGTTTACACCTAGATGGCTTTATTTAAGAGATATGATTCGGCCATTGTCAATATTCGAAGTATAACGACACAGTAGTCACTGTTTCACCGCTTCCTTGCAGACAAGTTCCCGTATATGTATGTTGGGGTATCAGACATGGCCCGAATATGCAGTGTTGACCGCCACTTGCGAAATGTATGTAGTTCCAGGTTGTGTAAGCCGCAAGTTTTGTCTTATAAAGGATTCGTGTGGGGAAGCTTATTTCTCGGTACGCTTGTTTCGTCATAAAGGTATTATACCCGAAAAGTCTCCGTTCGTAAGAGGTCCAAGCTTAATGCTGAACTATTGTTATCAACTAAAACTTGGATGGGGGTTCCTTTTACGAAATCGATTTTTTACATGAGATAAATGTGTTGGGCGAGTTAAGAATAGGAGGTAGACATGAAGATGTAAACGGGGTAACATCCGAGTGACATGACGCTGTGTTGCCATGTATAAGCAGCTTACGTATCCATTGTTATAAGTCATCACATCAGTCAACTACATTTCATTCCCGGAGTCAATAGGAAGAGCCCGTATTCGCTTTGAATATATTACCTAATACTTTTAAGGCATAGAATAGGGAGAGTTATTACCACATTAGGCTCTTAATCCGACCAACTACTAAATGATAGTATTTTACCACCTAAAAGCTATTAACATTCTTATAAGTAGAATTGTAATACTCGTATATATAGCAGCATGGATTTAGGTCTACTATCGGGATATTATTCAACCTTTTCATTTTGTTGTCTCGTAGTATGAAGCAGTTAGTGTGATTGTTCATACATTTGTCTATAACTGTAGCTTGCGATATTAACGTCCGAGCGCCACGGCTAAGGAAGATGGCTACCATCTAAAGTTCTTGAAGACAATAATGAGAGTAGATACTTAATAAATTACTGCCAGCTAATACTTGACACCCATCACATCCGTTAATTTTGACTTATCAAAATATGAATTATATATTATTATCAGTTACGCAACTCGTCTTCCAGGATAGATAAACAGCCAGGACACCATTCCGAGGGGTGGTATATTATAAACCATTAGAGTGCTGAGACATAAAGTGCCGACATATGATATGCAGTTATTAAATGCAGTTCCCAGATGGTGGCGCCGCCTCTCCAATCCCTCATGCAAGTCATCATCCAACACAATGCGTAGACTGATAAAGTCGTTAGCTATGAAGCTTAATTGTCACAATCGAGTGCCATTTAATCACTTACTCCAACACAAGCCGCATATCGTACTAGCGTATCAGGGAAAGCCGTGTTATTGGGGCTAGGCCAAGGTGTACGAAGACATAATTCAGTTTGAGCAGGATCCGACTGCACAAGATCGAGTTCGTCAGCGCGGGAGGATGAACAAGGTGCTTATCTTAGAAGACTTACTTGTTTGCATGCCTGTTTTATGCAGTTACATGCGCATTGGGGACGGTTGAAAGGGTCGAGGATATAGGGATCGTCGCCGTCGATTAGGACACAGACGTTGCTTGGAGTTCTTTCGATCTGGGGTGTCACAGACCGAGCGATCGGGCCAGAGATCACGCAAGCCGCCAGTACCAAGGCGCTCAGTACTTGTTGCACGTACATCTTGGGGTCTGGGAATAAAAATAATGACGTATTATGTAGTGAGCTGCGTCGGGAAATAGATAAGGACAAGCAACTTCTATCCAAGGTCTTGGTAAAAGAATAGGACCAGATAACAGAGCTTTATTCTAACGTTCTACTTATATAATAAAAATATCACTATATATTGAGCTGCCATTCTAGGATACCGGTATAGACCCATGCATGCTTTCGGATGCGGCGTCGGAACATTGTGCCGAACATCGTGTAAGCCAATTTCCCCAAGGCACGTCAAATAGCCATATCGTAGAAATTTCCACAGATCTTATGCGCGTGCCGCATAATTGCATTTAGCCACGAGCCGAAGGCTGTCAAAATGCACGAGATGGGAATCTTAATCAAGGGTTACTGAAATGAGATCGACCAATATCAGCACTCAATACTACCGCGGAGTTCTCCGCGGAGTCATAGGGAAAGCCTAGAACAGAGGCGCAGTTAGCTGCCTGGAGTCAACGGCATAATCATATCCCTATTATCATCTAAAAATGGCAGTTGCCTGCCCAAGATAGGCAGCAATTGGCTATGTGATATTTAATGTGAATTTCTGAATCATATCGATATTTTCTTAATGTAAAAGCATAGTTGGATAGTTGAGCCCAAATATGTAGAGCATTATTAACCTTCTAAGTATAATGGTATACAGAAGTGAGACGGCGATTTATTATAATATATATAGTTTTTGGAACAGTAGCAAATATATTGGTAAAATAAATCAAGAAGAATAGAGGTTGAGGCACCTACAAGATTGTTGGTCATAGTAACTCTAAAGTCATTAGATCATTCCTGTCGACATGTTAGTAAGCCAGGGTGGAAGTAATATGAACCACTTCTCCTTAGTTAGGGAAAGTTTAAGACACATTGGAGATATATTAGAGTAAAGTCGATCCAGAGAATTCATCGTCAGAAGAGTATAACTTTGTCTTAAACTCTCTTTCTCGCACGAAAGAGCAAATAAGTTGATATAGTCAGTGTTTCAACACCGTCGGATGCTATATTGATAGACTGTGTGACCGGAACTAGCCTTTATCGACGGTCAGTTACCTATTTTCTATGCCATAAAGCCTCATTATAAACCTCCGCGGCTCTATCTCGGTAGAGTCACTTACTAAACTTTATGACCGAAACTGTTCCCAACCGACATGGTCTTCTCTTTCTTAGATTGTGGAATCAGGCCAGGGCTCTTGTGAAGCTTCCTGAAAAGACCCTGGGCGAACTCACATATTGTGAGCCTCGGATTCCAGCTTCCTACTACCACAAACTAGTTTTCTCGAGTCAGTTCACAGGTTCTCATAAGGATCACTAAGTAATAACTTACTACGTTGTAAACTTCGCGCGGCCGATAAAAACTGTCGAGTGAGCCACCTTTAGATTCAGGACCAACAAAAGCCGTACCTGCTTCATGTACTACGCTAGGAATACGAATATCTTCCAGAGGAGGCTTATTTGTGTCATATATTCACTTGGTAATCGAACAAATATATATGTCATATTATCTCTCGGTCTGGGGTTCAGGGGTTGGATCGAACAGCTTGACCAATAAGATGAAGAATAATATTAGCCAATCATGGCTTGGTCATATTCCCAAGAAGGCGGGGGCTTATGTAATATACATGGCGGGGACATGCATGGACTAAAGCCTAGCTTAGAATTAGAATTTGAGCTCAGCAATAAGAGCCTCATCAGTATCTAACATCTAATCTATCATCCAATCTATCATCATCAATTCATGATTTATACCAAAGTGCTTACCTACGACAACTTAAGATTAGGAGCTACTTATTTCATTCCTACATACTTGATTATTACATAATGTCCGCCTACGAACGTGCGCTTCAATATTGAAGGGCTGAGACCTCTTCTTGGAATCAATTATCGGCATAATGCAACCACCACGCATTCTAATCCGCCGCCTCCTCACACTCCGTACCTCGAAATTTCCTCCTATTTCTCGCCGATTTACAAGAAATACGAACCTCGCGTCCCGAGGGCGACCCCAAATTCCATTCCTATCAGTACCACTAGCTAGGAATCATCAATTCCGATATCTCACCACCGAGCGAAAACGATGGTTGGCCTATGAGGTTTTTCTCGGATTCAAGTATACTGTGTATATCTGGGCCATTGCTGGCTTCTCTATCGCTGGCTACTGGAGTATACAGCAGGAGTGGCTTGAAAGGAAATACCCGACGCCGCACGAATGGCACTTCATAACCCGACTGCGATTCAGACTCGCGAAATGGGCCCCCGACCGAACCGATTCGCCGGACATCGACTGGGTCCTTACTGGAAACTATGCTAAAAATGTAATCGAAAGGTTAGAAGATGAGAAGGTCGAAGGTGCCGGCCTTGTGCAGAGCCAAACCGAAGGGGGAGGATATGATATAACATCAAAAAGCGAGCCATGGAGGAGAGGCTATTACGAGGCCTTGATGTTGTGTGCTAAAGCGGCCGAACATCTCGATGACCAGATTGTGGATAAGACGCGGCACCTAGTGTTCCCAGCCAACCAGGTCATAGGACCATCAAACCCGAGCCCGAGGCCTATTTCGCCCGGTTCACAAAGCGCGCCTCGCGAAGAGCATTGTGAGCGTGCCTTCGAAGAGCCCGAAACTTTCTACAAGAAAATACTAGCGACCCAAGGTTTCACGTCTAAGCAGAAGTTGGATGCGGCATTAGAGTACGCCTCGTGGTTAGACTTCAAGGGTCTCCCCGACGCCTCCGAGCTTACATACGAATGGGCACTGGCATTAGCTACAGAAAGTTTTCCCCCTCCATACGACATGAGGTCATACGTCCTACAGGATCTCTCACGCCAACCCTCCGCCAATCTCCTCACCACCCTCACCGCTCTCGCCACACACAAGGCGCGCGAAGGTGACACCGCCACAGCCCTCCCAATCCTAATCTCCGTCCTCCGCGCACGCAGATCCCTCCCGCTTCCGCAGCCCCCAAAGAAACCCACATACATCAACCCCGACGAAATCCAGTCCTCTTCCCCCTGGACCCTGCACAACATCACCGGCGCAGCCACCCGCCTGCTCTCACCCCCCGCATATCCCCCACCCCCGGATGACGGTACATCCCCTCCAGTCCGGGACGCAAAGGAGCTATGCGAGGAGGCCAGTCTGAACCTGTATATCGGGGAGATTATCTACGCCTCGTCCTCCGGTACTACCAAGGCTCGCGAAGACGGCCTGGCCTGGACACGTGAAGCCGTCGACCTAGCAGAGGAGCAGCTGCACAAACTAAACACTAGCGGGGACACCCGTGGTGACGCCAAGAAGACGTGCAAGGAATGCCTACTCGCCGGCCTCGAGAACTGGCAGATCATGGTGGCACAACTCGCACGCGAGGAGCAAGAGAGAGAGGCTTTGCTGGAAAACAGGGAGTCAGCAAGAGCGGGTAGCAGCTGGTTGGCAAGTCTATGGGGAGACGGCAGGGCTGGGACCACAGCTGGAGGACGATGGACTGCAGAGAAGAATGTGGTTAAGGAAAGGATTAGGAGGGCACAGGATGTGCTGGAGGAATCGGAAGCGCCTACGGCCGGGTTTGGTGCCTTGTTCCAGGCATGATGTGATCTAACATGTGCGTATGTTGTTACGATATATAGGAAGCAAAATAGTAAAAAGGACTCTTGGGGGCGTTTGTCTAGTCCAATGTTGTATATGCTGTTATAAAAACATATAATACATCTTCTGTCTCGCCTCCCCTGTCTTATTCAATTAATTGGGTTACTTACTCGGCTTCCCGTAATATATACTCGGCACAAATAGTCTGCATGTATTTTCAATAATGGGATAAATAATTTAGCATAGTTTGAGAGGTGTCAATTACCATATCCACTCCGTATCAACCTATATGAGGTATCTAGAATACAATCGCAATCCATCTGGCAAAGCTTGAGGTTAATATTCGTTGCCTCGTTGATTCATTACGTCGTCAAGATCCTTATTGTCCACTAACATTGAGCGGAAATAATAAGGCTAGCCTAGTTTTTATTCTCATCCTCAACCTTTCCGATCTTCATGTTTTCCTTCTTGGTCTGCACTTTATCCTCACCACGTTGCAACATAACAATGTTTGGCTTTTCGCCCTGTGGGTTGCTCGTTTCGTTGTGGGCCTGCTCGGTCCATATCTTATCATTCTCGTCCTTCTGACCAGCCACCTCTTCATTCTGCCATTTGCTCCAATCGGGCTCGTCGGTGTCAAATACGGGATCGGCAAAATCAACGTGAAAGTATGGGTTGGTGTAATCCTTGCCCTCGGGTGTCATAGCCACTTCTTGCAGCCAGTCGAGGATAATCTCGGAGCCGGTGATAAGCGCCGTCTCTGTATAATTTGGCTCTCCACTGCTGAAGACAGGACAGCCTATCTGCGTGAAAGTCGTAGTCTTCGGGTTGCCTTCAGGGCCTGAGATAACCATACCAGCTGGCTCAACGGAGGTTACGTACGCGCGGGCTTTCTACATGTCGGACATACAAATTAGCTCTATAAAATCCAAGAGCCAATAGGCAAGTAAAACATAGGATCAAAAAAGTAGAAACATAAAGGATCTTGAATAAAGACTCACATTTCTCAAGAACACGTTCACGAACTCATCGTTCTTCAAATCCCAAACCGGATACAAACCACCAACAATTGCAAGGCAGCTAATACGGTTCTTCCAGGTGTTCCATATAAGGGGCAAGTCCAAGAACTCCTCGACGTAGTCAGCACTGCCACCAAGTACTATGATGTCGATTTTGGCATTATCCTTGGTGAAGTGTGGGATCACTTCCTGAAAGATATGACCAACATGCATTCTCGCGGTCGAGTTCCTCTCAACCATGTTGCTCTTTCCAACTACGTTGGTATAGTGCACAGCACTCTGCATTGGTGCTGCAGCGAAAGCGGTGCGACTGAGGGTACGCTTCCCCTCTGGATACCAAATCAGCTCGCCCATGTTAGCAAGGATGATTCCTGGAGGGGTTGAGTCGGAGGACGAGGAGCATTGTTTCTGGAGAGCAGATACAACAGATATCATAGAGCCTTTGTTTATACCGCCGGGACCACCAACGATGCGATGCGCAAGCACACCAAGGTCCTGTACAGTTTCACCGAAGATGACAACGACACGCGACTTGGTAGCAATGTCGCTACTGATGAAGATAGGAACATGTGGCTTATTTGTGTCGGAAGTACCTAAGGGCAATAACTCTTTCTTCAGACCCAATTTCTCTAGACGCTCCCAGATCACATATTGTAGGGCCTCTACATTCCAATTTGTATTAGCTGAAGTCTAGCGTATCGTGAAGAGTTAGGAAGGGGGACAAAGCTAAGAGAGCATGCTTACGGTTCATAGAATAACGCTGACGCTCATTCCATCGGGTGTTGCGGTTGAAGAAGAAGTGGAAGTAGTTATCCGGGTTATCGATGGCACGGACTTCGTCATCTTCATTGATAAAGTAACTAAGAGAAATGACCTGTTAGCAAAGCTGCTGCTTTGTTGAGGTAGGAAACCAGAGTATCACTTACCCAAGCTTAGCTAGGTCAACAGGAAAGTTAGGATCTGCTGGCAGACCTGACCACTTTCGTCGGAACATCGTGACAACCTAGTTGTTGACCTAGAATGGCATACCGGTAGGTACAGAACCTGGGCTTTCCTGTGCAAGTTTTGATTAAGGATATAGGAAAGAGATATCACACCCGGGAGAACAATAGGTGATTTATGAATGTTTAGTGTATCCACCCTATCTTCTGGCAGAGTAGTAGAGAAAAGTCCTGGCTGTGGTACCTTAGGTAATGTGGTATTTTTAAGGTACAATCAAAGGTAAACAACAGCAGCACGGCCGCCAAATAAATTTATTCTCTAACGGTTACCGTTTGTATGTTTGCATATGAGGGAAGCTGCAGACCCGGCTCCATGTTCTTAACACAACTAAGTAGATGTACTGCTCTTACTTCATTTAAAATATTAAAACACCATCTACGTCCCTTCCCGTAAACTCTCGTCCCGGGTAGGAAGTACCTACATACATACCTATATACATATGTTAGGTTAGGTACCTAATGTAGATGCCCAAGTACATGATGTATGCAGATAAAAATAAAATTCCATAAAGAAACACCCCCAGGTAGAAGTTCTTGATTATGTACCTAGGAGGTAGTAGGTATACATGGACAACTGGTGACTTTACAGCATTCATTCGGCTGTAGCATTGTTGTAATAGTATCAATAATACATATCATGCCACAAGCATAAGTCGTGAACAAGCAACAGTTGTCATATCTTATTAGCATCACTCGTGTCCGACTTCACCAGCTAGCCTTCTTTACACCCGGAATATTTCCTGCTATAGCTTGCATCCTAAAGTTATACTGTGCAAATGAATTAGTACTTATAAAAGCCTATTTTTATATTTTATGCATAATACGACTTACTCTTGACATCTTGAAGTCGCGTAATATACCTCTTCCCTTACCACCTAATATACATCGTCCACGGATTTGTGTTGGTCGCGTATAGCAGTGCATCTGTGTAAGCTGTAGTTGGGCTTCGGCTCGAGCCCTTGGGGGGAGAGTGGTATTTCGGATGATATATCGCAGAGCTTGTCTATTCAATTGCACAGTTGCTGTTAGCATATTTACAATTAAGCAGTCCGGTTTGTTCATTGGCGCACCTCTCAGGCTCGAATTGTGCATAGGCTTTCCTCTTGGAGTGATCTCTGATCGTCTTAATATTGACGAAGCAGCCAATATCAAGCTTCTTAGCCCGGAACATAGACATATTGACGGTATTGGCGATAGTTGGTCCCTCGTATGGTGGACCAGCTTGAACCTACAAAGTTTTGGTGTCGTTATTCAATTTGCGCATTGGTTTCTGCAAAGGCGCAAATCGATTGGTAACTGTCCAATTAGATTATTTTACACCTGTAAGACGCTCACACCGGCCCGCTAGACATTTTGTGCATTTACGTAAGGAAAAATAGCGGGGTCCATTTGTTCAGGGGGGTACCATTGTATCTTTCTTAAGTTGTATGGACGCCTGTCACGTCAGTCCCATAGCCGCAAAAAAAAAAAAAAAAAAAAAACAATTACATACCTAGGTACCTATGTACCTACCTGAGGTACATATGGATCATCTATGACGTCGAAGTACATCCTAACTACAAACAGCCTCATGTACGGCAATACTTGTCAACGCCATAATAGAATTTTCGTATTGTGTCATCCTAGATAATTTTATGTAGGCAATATCGATAAGTCGATCTAGCACCTAATGACGTAGGTAATAGTAGCAAAGCACATAGAAAGAGTCTTATAAAAGCTCAACCCAAGCTATCTGGCTAGTAGGTCTCGGGCTTTCATATTTCATACTTATAAAATTCCACGGTATCTCATAAAGCTTCTCTATTAAAGAATTTAAACTATCCTCTATATACTTAGTAATTATCCTATATTACACATATTCAACATGTCCGGTTACTCCAATGTTGGTCAAAGCTCCGTCTATGAGAACGGCGACCAAAGGAACCTGAAGGACTCAGAGATCCCAGGCCGTCCCCGATTTGAAGAGGGTGTAGAGAATTCGCATCTGCCCAACGACTCTAGTAAGCTTTACCCTCATGATATAAATATATTATTTGATAACATCGTCTAACATTTCTTGCAGAGGACGAGCGATCCATTGCTAACCGTCTAGCTAATGAAGAGGTATTTCCTTACGACTATTCCTATGAGGCGAACTAGAGGATAGAGCTAATGATCCACAGCGCAAATTAAGCCGTGAAGAGCAAGACGACCCAGAGACCAAGGCTTCCAAGAAGGACCCGACATTGCCTGTAAGTCAAATCAATTATCTTGTGACGAGATTACCTACTAATTCTCATTACAGGCTAAGCTACACGGCAATGAACCCTCTAAAGGCGCCAAGATTGATGCGGATTTACAAGCGGAAGAAGAGGAGTACCTGAAGCAGAAGGGCAAGAAATAGATATTTATATTTCTATAATGTCCAGGATTTGAACATACAAGGGATATTCTAGTATATGTGTTCGCTTTGTAGCATCAATGAAAAAAAAAAAAAAAAAAAAAAAAAAAACGCAAGCTTCTCCAATCATAAATCTATCAGTAAAATTCACCGTGAAAGCAATAGCCATGCTGCGAGCCAGATCTATACCATTCAACACATCTCACAGCTTTGCCCCCATAGCTCTTCTCTTCTCTCTTTCCCGATCTTTCAAGAGTCTCCTCAAGATCTTCCCGCTGGGGCTCTTGGGTATCGCATCGATGAATTCAACTCCGCCCTTCAACCACTTATACCTAGCCTTGTGTTCCTCAACCCACTTGCTGATGTCCCGGGCAACTTCTTCATCCGGCCTCGATGCTGCCGAGGCGGATTTCACGACAAAAGCCTTCGGTACCTCCCCAGATGCTTCGTCCGGTATTGGGATAACTGTGCAATCATTAACGTCGGGATGACTGAGGAGATGAGCTTCTAGCTCTGCTGGCGCAACTTGATGGCCCTAAGTCGATTCTGGTCAGTAAATTTTAATAGCATAGCAAACATATAGATAGTATCTCACCTTGACTTTGATCAACTCCTTCAACCGATCTACAACAGAAATATGCTCATGCCCAGCTGGTGACTTCTGAACAACAGCCACATCTCCTGTCCGTATCCAGCGGCCGTCATCGTCCCACACGTAAGCCTCCGATGTTGCCTTTTCGTTGTTCAAATAACCCAGTGTGACCGAGGGCGACTGAACCCAAAGTTCGCCACGTTTTTCATACTCCATGATCTCCTTGCCATCTTCGCCTATTAACTTGGCCCGGGTAGCGGGTGCTAGAGATCCCGATGTTCCAATCATCACGTCGTTCTCACCCGTGCTGGTCACAACTGTACTTGTTTCCGTCATACCGTAGCCCTGACCGACACCTAGAAATGGGAAGGCCTTCTCCATATCCTCGTGTGTTTCGGCACCAAGCGGTGCGGCCCCTGTGTACACCATTCGGATGCTAGATAAGTCGTATTTAGCACACAACTCCGTATTCCGCAACATTTGAATGACGATAGGAGGGACCTATACAATAAAATTAGAACCTGTCCATAGGACTGAGCACACGTAACACCTACAATATGCAGAAAATTGATCTTGTATCTCTGGATAGTTTCCAGAAGGGTCTTTAGCTCAAACCTCGGTAAAATGATTACGGCATCTCCTCGATACGTCCCCGCATGTGCAACTACTACCAGCCCATAGATATGGCTTAGTGGCAAAAGGCCAAGTTGAACTTGGGTTTCGATGCCTTTGGCCTTTCTGCCTGGATCATCATGCCATCGGATCTGCATCATATTCGCAATGACATTTCGGTGTGCGATCATCACGGCTTTCTATCCTAGAGGTTCAGTGAATAATTCTCCGAAAAAAAGGAAGGATAAACTGACGGGGAGACCTGAAGTGCCGCTCGAATAGCACAGGTACGCAACTTGTCGAGCGCCTTGCCCCTTCGCCCAGACCAACGGCTCGACTTCCGCCAAAGACCGACCTTCATCGATGAGGTCATCGAGACTCTTGAAAGGAACAGGTTTGGATTCCCCAGGTATTTGCATAATGAACACTTTGTCGTCTGGAATGCCACATGCTCTCGTCGCCTTCAATGCTGTATCTAGGAGTGGGATACACGTGATCAGAGCTTTGACACCAGCTGACTTGAGCTGATGTTCAAGCTCAGCTGGTGAATACATGGCATTTGCTGGCGTCACAATACCCGAGAGGCGGTGTACCGCGAAGTTAGACATCATATAGTCAATCTAAAATGTCAGTCATCATTCGTATCCTCATCACCATCTGAAGAATTGTTGAACTACCTACCGAATTAAAAGAGAAGACGCTAACCACCTTATCCCAGGGCGTCTCTTCGTTCGGCCTCCAGCCCATACGCTTTGCTAGTGATCGCGCCAGGAGCTCGTAGCGCTCGGTCATCTCAGCAGCCGTATACGTCTTCCCCGTAATCCCGCAGGTGTAGGGGTTCAACGACCTCGCGAGCGGTTGCCTCCCATACTTCTCACTGCTCCAGAACTCATGAATCGGAATTGAGTCCGGGGGGTCTAAAAGCTCTCGTAAACACGACTATTCCCTTATGAGGAAAAAGGGACGTTGATGACATACCAAAGGGTAATTGAGGCACCCAAGCCGGTGGGGTAAACACCATTTTGCTACAAATTGCTCGTTGGAGTGCTTAACCACGTTTTTACGTTTTCACGTGTCGAAGAAGTTGAGTGAAGCTTGCAAGATTAAGGGAACGTTGCGGGTATACAATTTCTTGAAAACAAAGAAGTACTAGCTTGAGAGTGTCACAAAGGGAGGCTGACTTTACAAAGAAATATGTAGTTAGCCTCGGCCAACATCGGTGGATCCGATCGGTGGTTTAATACGACTTTAGATGCCGAAGAATTGACCTATAAAGTAAGGTGTATTTATTCCCGTTGAGCTAAACTCCGTGATCCCCATAGCGTCCCATGTTGATGGACCCCCCGCATGATCAATTTAGTACATGTATCCCCCGAGTGGAGAGCTATCGGTGAAATAGCCGGGGTAAGAGCATATACATACATAGATTACCTAAGGTACCAGTTTGAGTTAGGTAGGTACCCCCAAATCATCCCAGATAATCCCAGATAATCCCATCTCCAGACCCTTTTATCGTTTATTTAAACGTCCAATCGGTTTTCTGCCATTATTCAGGTACATGTATATATCTAGCTCAATTATATGTATAATACTTTCCAATTTTTTTTATTGGATACCTACCTAGGTATACACAGTGATTATGTAGAAGGTACTTAACCTAAGGTAGGTAGCCCATTGAATACTACCTACGTACATGTATGTACCCGATATAGGACCTCGGAGTCTATCGGTTGAGGCAAAGTACCGGGGTAGCTTAGGTAGCTCCAGAAAAACGGCTAGAATCATCGTTTCACCACGGGGGGTTTCTTGGCATTTACGTTCCTACATCAGGAACCAATAAGATTATTTCTTTAGATCGATTTGCCAAGCCACGATAATATTGTTGAGGAACGCAAGCCACAAAACCCCATGCCTCGCCCCTATCTGCAGGGACGACTTGAGCCTCCTTTCTCATTATACAAGGCTGAACGTCCCATAGCATAAGTGCTACCTACTTGCTTCAATGATAATATTCATACAATCCTATTTTTCTATTCTACAAAGGTAATTTTATAATGGAATAGAAATTCTTGTAGTCTAAGCCCGATAATGATTACCTTTCATTACTATCTTAGGTACCTGATAAATGCGAGACTTCACGCGTCGCGACTTCAGCAACAATGCAATAGACTCTACAGATACCCCTAGAATAATACAAGTCTTTTACACCTTTGAGAACTCGTTAAAGAGGCATGTCACCAAATATTACCAAAGTGAATATACCAGTGGCTCTCCTATCACCAGAGAATTATTGCCTACCTATCATTCGTATAGACTCTCCATAGATTTTCATCCAAGCCAACCGCGACTACCTAATAAACTTTGATATCAAAATAGGTATGATCCAGAAATGATCAAACTACGTTGCTTCCCAAAACTGTGAGCAATCATGTAAATATTCAGAGAACCAGGGTTTTGCAGCCAAGCTTTCTTCATACATGTAAGTAGTAAATGTTTGGCATCTTAGTCACTCCTAAAGCATGGTTACAAAAAGGATTAGCTTGCTAGGATGGCAATAGGTGCTAAAGCAGGAGTTTGTAAGCTGTGCAAGCATTTATGTGAGAACTCAGAGTCATACTATCATAATCATATGGTCATATAAAGACCCCTAATACACCCTCTGACATGACCAGATCACCTAGGTACATACCAAATCACTTAGACACTACTCAAATATATATGTACCTAATATATGACTATTATTTTAATAGATACTCAATATCTATATTTTATCATAGTTATGATCATAATCATATATACCTAAGTTTCAAGTTATATCTAATGGAGCTAGAATCATTCTTAAATCCAATGTCCAATAACGCAACTGCCTTCTTGGAGGTCATAAGAGTTGGTACTTACCCAATTGAAAATGATGCAGTTCGCTATTTCCACAGAAGGTACGTAGCATACCCAACTTGGGCAAGCGGGCGTATTTAGTACAGGACTGTAGTACGTTCCTTCCTACGACGGGTCGACGTTGCCCTAGATGTAGTTCTCTCCCCTATCAATTCCCAAAGAGGGTCTGCTTCGCTAATCGTAAACACAAAACATCCACCAATATTCACCAACTTCAATCAAAACTTCACCAACATTCAGTTCATTCTTCTCATTCTTCCAAATCGCGTATTAAAATCTATTCTAGAATCTTGACTACCATCAGTCTAAGCAGTCATTATTCATTCTCGTGTTACTATTCTCTCCCCTTTGGGTCAATCCATCTCCAACCCTCGTGGCTGTGTCGCCTAACCCTCTGCATGATAAACATCTTCTGCCTGCGACAAAGGTATATCATCTTTCGTGCAATTCAGGCCGTTCATTTCACGAGGGCAGTCCTAAATTTCTCTCTTTTGCTTTACATTTACTGCTGCCAATCCAGCAATACCAACGCCACAACATAGGACACCTTTCAATCATCTTCAGTACCCTCCTAACCACAGCGACACTTCCTGGACCAACTCTACCTACATTGTCTGGGTTTGACGCTGCTTCCTTGATAGTATCATCCAGGTGTTGAAGTAGGATTTTGTAGCCTATATCTTGCAAAACTTGGTAAGTCTGTTCAATACGATTCTCCCTGAAGACCTAGCATATCCATTTCTATGCCCCCATTTGCACTTTAATTCCCACTCGAGATACATGTTTCTTTTTGAGCACGCTGCTTCTCTATTTCCTTCATGGCGAAAACATCATTCCCAGTCCTGTCAATACCCAGTGGCACCTTGTCGCACTTGTTAGTCACGCTTGTCGCATTCAGGCGACAAGCGTGATCAACAGCCCTTTGACCCAAGATGCTTCTTACTACACAATTGTTATCCTGTTTACAAGCTCATATCTGACTCGCCCCTACAATACACCATTGACTACTTCACAAAGTTTACCTTCACATTCTCCACTATCTATTACACTATCCTCTCTTTCCCTGTGAACCTTGCAACTTCACATGTTCACAAGTCATATATTGGCGCTGTTGAGCAATAGCACCTTCATGATGATATACATGTTATCCATCAACCCGACACGCCCTGATACCCGTATCTTGATTATGTCATTCTCTATAATATCTCAGATTTTAAACTAACTCTGATTAAGTATTTGTAGCACACCTAGTCTTTCAGGCTTACTCCTATATGTAGCGCTGCTAAGAGACATATGGTACTAGAAGCCTTTAGTATTGTATTACAGTGGTCTATTGTATAGAGTATTGAGAAAGATAACCAGGCCCTTTGACAAGACTATAGCACGAGCTATGTCATTTACTATGGAGAAGATAATCGCCGACCCTATATCTGATCCTGGACATACGTCTGTCGCCGACACTATACCAGTCGCCGACGCTATACTGGTCGCCGATGCTATAGGCATTGCTGAACATAGCCCGGTGAAGTCTTCTTTGAAGCGAAAATATGGGGAAGTAGAAGAAGACGAGAATACGCCTGACGTCTCCCGCATCCCTAAGCACCGTCCAGCTAAATCCAACCAAGTGACCCGAAGTCGAGTAAAATCTTCTAAGAAAAGGACCGCTTCCAACACTGTCACTAGTACATCTGTCGATCCTGCCGAGATACATGCGAACAAGCCAGAACCGCATGGTCAGCCATTAGCTTGGGCTGACAAGAGAGCGGCCTTCAATGATGCACTGCCATATTTCAAATCGCATCAAGGCAGCGTGTATTCAGCAGGGCTAATGCCCAAAGGTATGCTTATAGATGGAATTGTAGGGATGCGTGACCACTTTTCTAGCCAGGTTATAATTACTTCAATGTAAGTTTCAATACTATTCACTGGGCTGGAAACAAACTAACGTAATAAATAGTGGTGGTGGCCGAGTTCAAGATCCGGTTACCAAGAAGATGGTCAGAGCCCAAGATCAGGGGGAGGACGGCAAGAATTATAAGGCATTGATGCAGGCTTGGGAAGCAAAGCACCCCTTCGTGATGGTAGCCGGTAAGTTCCACAATACATGTATCGCCCTTGCTCGAAGATATATTCTAATAAAGTTTAGGAGCGCGCAATAACATGTTCCCGGTTAAACCTCCTCATCACTATAATGTTCTTGACTACTTTCACGTTACAGAAATTTGGCAAGAAAAAACCAAGGAATCACGAGGAGAGATAGTGGTGATTTATATGGTCCGCTTGGAAAAGGTCAACTTAACTAGCAGATCTTGGTGGGCTCCAAGAGGTGTTAGTGCTCCTGAAGCAGGTGAATTTGGGGTTGGTGAATACTCCTGTACGTCAAGCACTTGCACGGCTTGCCAAAATCCGAGCAAGGAGATTTTCGAGCAAGGTTGGACCTGTCTTAACAGTCAATGCTCGGGATTCTTTAAGTTTTCTACCTCACTGGACGTCAACGAGCTAAAGTACAACGACGCTTTCTTACGAGAAAGGACAGAGTATAGTGGTACTCCGATTGAAGATAGTCTCATTCCTGCTCTACCCTCTGATCGAAAGGGCACAATCGGCAGCGAAAAGGAGTACAAACAGGGAATCCATTGTCCTAAGTGCGGCTGTTGCAGCAGGAGAATAAAGTGGGATGGCTGGTATTGTGAGAATGCAGAATGCGATTTCACACATGCAGTCCCTATCAAGATGACTCCCCTCGATCGTATCAAGAAGGAGAACAAAACAGTGAAGACTAAAAAGGCAACCAATTACAATCGTCAAGTTAAAGTTCACAAGACGACTATAGGAGGACAGAAGCTCAAGACTTTTTTCCTCCCTGATGAGAATGGTGAGTATATCGGGACTGTCACCCGAATAAGGCCACCAGAAGAGGCTATTTCAAGAGAAGGTGGACTTAACGACCTGTATTTGCATTTGCAAAAGGAGGACCTAAAACTAGAGAGAAGACCAGCAAAGAATCCTGGTGAGTGGATGTGAAGCTCTGTTTGGGCTGACCAATACTGATTACCATAGGCTGTCGAGTTGAAGAGTTGACCTCCCACTTCTCTGGGAATTTCGTAAGTCACCAGGTTTAACTGACTCAAAATATCATAACTAACACTCTTATAGGGTGCTCCGTACAAATTTGGAGTGGTTGTTAAAACCACAACTAGCTTCGAGGATGCACCCATTCCAATATTAGAGACTCTTCTTCGACTAACTTGGGGAGGAAAGGCAGCCGTTGAAGCCTCGCGTAAACTCATCCGGGACGAGAAAATTGACGTCCCAGCAGACTCCATACCAAAAGATTTCAAGGCGTATAATGAGCAGCTGGTTCTTGGGTACTTTGAAAACTCAAAAATCAGTGTACGTGTTTCTCCAAATTGGTGTTTCAATAGGAGTACTAATATATATCCTAGGCCCACGACGACGGTGAGAAAGAACTCGGACCGAACATTGCATCTCTCTCCCTTGGTTCTCCTTCGGTGATAAAGTTTTCCCCCAAGAAAGGGAAAAACATTGGGGACACGATAGACGTAGGCAAGAAGAAGAGAGGAACATTCTTGTCAGTGAAGCTGAAGCATGGTGACATGCTGGTCATGCATGGAGAAAAGATACAAAAATTGTATCTCGTAAGTATTCGCAATGGTTACCTACTTTGCCTCTTTAGTCCATGAGTTGACTTATTTGGATAGCATGCCGTCGATCCAAAGGGAAAACATCGATTTGCCTTAACTTGTCGATATATCCGTCCAGAAACCATTCCTGATAAAGAACAGCGCGCCCTGGCCGAAACTACTGGAAAGATCCCTGATCGATGGACTGCCATTAGATATAATGGAGAAGAAGACCAGTTCGAATCCCATGCCACTGGAGAAGTTGTAGCCTGCTCTGGAACCCTTGTAGGCAGTGCCGAGTCTACTACAAATCCGGCACCATCTGAATACACCAATTGAATACACCAACTAAATACACTAACGACTTTGAGGGTGATGATGTTTTCACAGTTTAGACTTTATCACATACGACAAGTTCTAAAGGACCAACTACTGGCAAAGCTTCACCTATCATCGTCAACAATTCTATCTCGTTTTGCCTTACTATAGCACCCCTTAGGTCTTTCAAGCAATCAGGACCTGGTCGAAGATTATCGAATGTTACAAATTGATTTCTTTTCGTTTCACTACCTGGAATTACGCTCCAAGTTTATTTATTGCACCTACTCATTTTTTCCTTTTGTACTAGTTTTCCTCAAGTCATAGGAGACGTTTCACTATGTAGGAGGAGATGGATTATGTGATGCTGCAGTGATCCTTTGAAACGATCTCCGCATTAGCAACCGCGTTAACGACTTCACGCTTTACGTGTATCTACTTGGCTCTACTTGGCTCGGCTAATGCATATAGACACATCCCTATGATGTACATGACGATATCCAGCTAAAGGAGTTTGGAAGGAGCTTAGCAACGGATTACTAAGAAAAAAAAACTCCCTTTATCCATGCCATTTGTCTAGTGATTATTTGTGCATGTTCCTATCATCATCTGCACAAGAGATCAACATAGAGGATGATGACTTAATGTGCATATGCATTGTCGTATGAGCAATGCTCATGGTCTTCTTGACAGACCAGAGCAAGCCTACGTCTTAAGACGTGTCTATATGTGTGGCCCTTTGGGTCTCCTATCCCTCTTTCTACCTCATTAATCAAATTTCGTCTTTTCATCTTTCTCTTCTCTTTTCTACCGGCCTTTGGTCTTGCGCCTACGCTCCCATTCGGCACGCTCTTCATCGTCACTACCTGAGAACTCGGCATCATCATCGTCATTATCTTCCTGCCTAACATCAACAAAGGAACTCGCCACGGCCTTCTTGTTCTCTTTGGGGGGTGCAGGCGTGGAGTCGACAAAATCGCCCGCATTCAACTCGGCATACTCGTGCTTCTGGATCAGGTCGCGCAAGCCGGCATTAGAAGGATCGACGAGTTGATACGGCGTTAGTCGGGCCTTGTTGCGCACGCGTGTGGACGATCCGGCTTCGAGCATCATTTGTACGAGGGCGTTGCCGAATTCGCGCTGGGCAGGGGGCTCGCTGTTGATCCAGCGGATGACGCTGTGCAGGGGCGTGTCCCCTTCGATACGATTCAGAGGATCACATTCAAAATCTGGTTGGTCCAGAAGTGTGTCGATAATCTCGTCTGGGGTGGAGGTGTTAATACTGCGTGATGGGTTTCTTATGTTTGTATTTTTGAGGGGAGGATTAAGGGGGTTGATTAATGTAATACGAGTCTGAGCAGGCTGGAGGACGTACAGTTTCCCTGCAGGGCAGCCTCGTGGTAGAGGTGATTACCCATGACAGTTGTAGTAGTGTTGAGGAGGGCGGAGATTTCTTCATCCGACTTGCAATTCGAGATTACATCGTGGAGTAAGTCGACATTGTTCCTTCGGCAGGCTTCGATCAGCCGCTCCTTTACGGAGGCACCCTGTTGTAAGCAATAAGTTAGTCGGCTTTTCAATCTTGGACTATAAGACTGCTATCTAACCTCGTGTTCATGATCATCCGCCATGCTAGGCTGCTCTACCAAGCTGTACTATGATATGCTATGCTATGCTATGCTATGCGATCTGCTTCCGTTGTATTCCAAGACAAAGCAAACTCGCCAGGCAGAGGAGTAAGGAACTCGGCTGGCAACAGACTATTCTTTCTGTTGTATTTTTTTTTATAGTTTCGGGTCCAGGAGGAGAATAATCAATAGGCAAAACCTAGGAGGTTAGGTTTTTAATGGAACAGAATATGATGAATAAGAAGAAGCTGCTAAGCCCAATTACATACGTAGTCGTCAGAAATAATCCAGCCAGGTTTGTTTCTAAGAATGGTGATTGTATGGTGATTGTACAGCAGAGCGCCTAACGGATTGGATATAATGCACTTAGATAAGCAAGCTTGAAAGAGCAAAGCGCCATAAAGGAGGCTGTGACGTTTCCAAAATCCCTTAAACTCCTTCTTGTCTGAAACCCCACCACAGCCCACTAACCCACTAACCCACGCGTCTCTAAATTCGCTAGATTGGAAAGTTTACTACCTACCTAGGTACCTACCTATGTACAGCCCCAGCTGTGCCTACCGCGGGGTGGTTCGGGGAATAGTTGTAGCGTATTCCGGCGGGACAAGACCTTGGGCAATTCCATTCAATTTCGGTTTATTTAGGCAGGTACGTACCGAGGTACCTATTATGAATTTAGGTATCTGCAAGATCCCATATCGCTGTTAATGCATATCGCTGTTAATGCATGTCGCCGGAACTCCACCAAAATTTAGAATTCATCTACTTTGTCAGTCACTTGCTCACTCATTTCAACGGTCCAATCAAGAGAGTATCTACCCGTAAATTCACTTAGATATTTTATAAAACTAGTTTCAGATACAGGTTTTATTAAGCCACAATGCTGCTCTGTAGGTATTCCTAGCCTATATACATTTGGTACCAACTACGGTAATGACTAACTCAATCCCCAGTCTGTCCCCAGTGCTCAAACATCCTGACGGTGTCCATGTCGGCAGAGGCCGGGCGCAACCGCCTCGAGTGTCGCACATGTCCGTATCAGCACTTGATCGAGGAGAACATGTACTCGCGACGATACTTCAAGCGGAAGGAACGCGAAGACGTCTTCGGCGGCGCCGGGGCCTGGGACAACGCGGACAAGACCCCCGTCCAGTGCAATAACTCCTCCTGTAGTGGCAAGGAGGCTGCCTTCTACCAGATCCAGATTCGCAGTGCTGACGAGCCTATGACTAGTTTCTTCAAGGTAAGTTTTTGTTGTCGCGGTCGTAGGTTTGATAGTGCTGATGATGATGATAATGTAGTGCATGACGTGCGGCCACAGGTGGAGAGAAAACTAGACGGTATATGTAGTAGGACGGTTTGTGTCGACAATTCTACTGCCTGGCGTTTGGAAGGCTCTCGGGGACGTTACGAAGGGTTCTGGAGTTCTTGGTCTCGAGTTTTTAATGTAGATCGCCTAGTGTCGAGATGTCCGTCCAGGAATCATGATACCCGATTTGCTTCTATCCCTTCCGATGTGTATTTTACTGCGTTTACATACGTCTTTTCTTGGTATAATGTCAACCCAACTAGGGCGCGCGTATTACGGTGATGAATTGTAGGGGGTATCCTCCTACTTATTCTTTGTGCCAATCCACGGCCGCTTTAGCCCCCTCGGCAGCCAGCGCATACACTAACTCGGGACTAATAATTTCTTGTCGGAAGCGCTCTTCCTGAAGTAGCTCGAGGTGCTTTAGAGTCGGGCCCGGATAGATGAGGTACTTGATGTAAGGCGGGCGGGTCCAGTATCGGAGGTAGCTGAGATATGCGACGAAGGCTGGTTCGTTCAGGAGCTTCTGGGATGCGAGGTGATTCAGGTAGAAGGGGTTCGCAAGGGATTGAACAAACTAGAGCCCCATGTTAGAATCGGTACACTATGGATAGAATCAGGGAATATGTACCTCAAGCTCGACCTCGAAGCGACTGAACCCGCCGTATTTCGGCTCGCTGTCTGCCGGGAGAGGAGGCGGGGATTGCTGCATTTCGATGTCCATTCTGGTTTGTTTTCGGCTTCTTATTGTCACAAATACTGGGGATGGATACGTAATTGGTGTGTTTGAGAGATAAGGCGACGACGATGAATGTGTGGTAGAAGTGAAGGCTTGGTGGAGAGATGGAGAGATGGATAACAAAGAGTTGGATGATAAGAGAGATTGATAAAGCTTATGTGGAGAATTTAATCCTCTATGAATGACTAAGCTATTTATTTAAGTTAGGCCTAAAAACACTACTGAGATAAAACACCACCCACTACGTCGTATCAACTAAGTGAGGGCTAGGGCTCAAGAGAACCAATCGGAAAAGAAGCTTACAAGTTAAGAATATAGGAATAATTTTCAGACAAATTTATCATCCACAAAAGCATCAGTGGTTTAGTGGTAAAATCCATCGTTGCCATGAGCATATTCGATGGGCCCCGCGTTCGATTCGCGGCTGATGCATTTCTTTTTCTACTCTCATCCCTTGGTTCTATCCAGATTTTTTTTTTTTTCCAGTAGTATCTATCTGGTAGGTAGCATATTGGTTTAAGTTAGCTAGGGTGATCGTGATGGATGAATCTATGAAGTTATAATTTTTATACTATGAGTTGCCTTTTATCACATGTCCGCTCTCCACTAGTTAAGTAGACCTTTAATGGCATATATCAAGGAGAGCGGTATTGCCCCACCCCCGCTTCAAAAGACAAGACGAATATCAACTACTTATAGTGCCATTATAGTCGTTAACTTTACGATGATGAAGCATTAGGTACTGAGATTAGATATTGCAAGAGCTGTTTTGGAGTTTGCGTTTTACCCTAGTTATACCTTTTAAGAAAACATCAAAATTTTCCCTTTCGAGCGTTCAATACTGTCCACCCCGCCAAGCCCTACTATTAAGTACAGTACTTTTGATAAAAAATGTAAGGAACGGAAGATATATTATGTCTTGTGCCTTAAGTCGAAAGGAAAACGACAGGTATATATCGTCAGGAGGCAAAAAATGATCGAACCCAGGCTCGAACTGGGGACCTTCAGTGTGTTAGACTGACGTGATAACCAACTACACCATCCGACCTTTATATCAAAGATGGAAAATCTGATTTGTCCATCACGTGATGGTGGTTAACTAGGTTATATTGTGTTTATATATATCCACTCACAATTTGCATTGGGTAAAATCCCTTGTGCCATCCTGTACCATGTAGTTCTCTGCGTAAACTTTAGATATCCAAAAGAAACACACTTGGCATGTAATCTATTGAGAGAGTAATTCTATCAGATATTTCATTGAATAATGATAATAATATCTCCATCTAGTTATAATTATTTATCCATTGAGTTTTAATGCTTAGGTCATTTTTACTCTACTCAACCAAAGACCCAGCACTAGATTTCTTAAGAACCGTGAAAGATAAAGCATTCATTACTACAGGTAAGATCTCTACAGGCAAGATCTTAGAACAAGTTCAACTTTTATGAGGAACTAGGTAGTAAGGTATTCTATTCTTACTTGTTACATGAGTAGAGCAAATGTGACCCATATACAAAAGCTGGATGGGATACTAACCATCCACAAAGAACCCCATATTATCACCAACTAAACCAAAATTAATGTCAATGATACGATCTATGTAAGATGAAGATTTAGAAGTATTACGAGACAGAATCTAAAAAAAAAAGAAAAAAAAAACCCCAAAAAGAAAACGTACAACACCAGGGATTCGCTGGTCGTCACCGACCCAACTACTAATCTGGCGGTATCTGGCTTATCTATGGGAGAGCGGACGGGATCCCGAGTTTTCCAGATCCTATGGTCGTACGTGATAAATCATGTTGTCTTTACCCCTTATATCTTAGTTGTAACATGTCTCCACGAATCCCCACTACTGGAACGCACACACATGAGCCCCAAAACGCACCCCAAACATCGTCAGTTTCGAAGCAAAGTTTTCTCATGCTGGAAATATTTTTGATGTCAATAATCTCGTTTCTCGTCCTGGTACTTCCTATATGCTCTCTCACTTATATACAATATGGGTAGTTAGGTTAATTAAGTTGATTATTCTCACACAATGTATGCACTGATGCATCTTACGTCTAAGCGTACTCACTTCCTACAGTAGCTCACTAATTTACAGGAACGTGTAGCATTGCCTCTTGAAAATAATGCATTTTAACTAACAGGTAGGTAGCCCTTCGCTCCCGCAGGGTCTTAGTTTATGTCTATCTAAATCGTTCGCTTGCTACAGGCTCACTCGGTACAAAATATTTCACCCACAAGCCATACGCCACCAATCACGAAGAAACCCCCTAAAAGGGATGAAAAGAACTAACTATACGGTCAAATTCGAGTGTCTGTCTCTGCGGCTAGCTTGGGGGCGTTGCGGGGATATTATGTTTGCACGATCTGAAATCTTTTTGGCTTCCGGGGGCCAATCGCCGCTCTGTCCATCCATCTTTGGCCCGTCGTCAAACGTATCGTCGTGCAGCCTCCGGATATATCCTCCCTAATTTCCTCCCCACGTTCTCGGGGCACTGTTCAATAGCCATCAATGAGGGCCTCTACCTACCTATTTACTACTAATAATTGCACCGAACTCGCTGTTCATGCCCATATACCCAAAATGCTCATCATAGCAGCTTTGTGCTATAAACTCTGACACCCTCTTCAACTATCCATCAATAATGCCACCTTGTGTACCAGCTTGACAGTTGTAGAAAGCCAGCATTGCGCCCCTGGCATAACAACTACGGGGTTATAGTAGTAGCGAGTCTCACGAATATTGAAGCTATCTCTAAACTGAATTTTCCTTATGCGATCTCAGAATGAACGTCAGCGTCGTTTCTATCTGGCCCCGCCATCCGGTACTCCTGAGACCCCTTGGGGATTTTGTGCCGCTTGGGCTGCTAATTGCATAGCAGCTTGGGCATTGGCTTCGGCCTGGTGGACGACATTTTGAATAACGCCTTGCTCATCTGCTGACAGACTCGAGGTGAGATTAGAGTAGAGTTGTGGGTTTTCTTGTTGCATCTCTGTGAGAACGGGTTAGCAACCGCGAATAAGGAGGGGAGTGTTTATGAATTTGTAGGGACTCACTCATTAAGACAGTTCGGAAAAGTTGATAAGGCTCAACCTTGTTCAGGGGCGATTCAAGAGAGACGCTGTCTTCCCCAAGTTCGTCATCTGACTCGTCAACGAGACCCCCATGTTGATTCTCGATTTGGCTGAATTTGGCGGCTTCCTCGTTGAGGAATTCCAGATAAGCCGTACTCTCATCGCGAGCATCTCCCTGGTCTCCCTCTGCACCTTCCTCAACGGCCCAGCTAGTATCCTCATCGGCCCATTCGTCCTCGTCCTCATACCCGTATTCATTCGAATCGTATGTAAAGTCTTCCTTCAATGCTTCCTCACGGTTCTTTAGGGCAGTAGGTAACGTCTTGAAGAGGCCAGTAATCCCTTGCAGGAGCCTTGGCCAGCCGACGCTGACACTTGCAGGGATCTGGTCTGCGTTCAAACTTAGTAAGGTAACGATAGCCACGATGCATAACTTCTTGTCGTGCACTCGACTAAAGTGGTCCATGTTACTAAACCAAAGGCTGAAGAACTTGTTGGTCCATCCCTTATTCTCTAGGATAGCTAACGTCAAGAGCGGGTTATAGTAAATGGCATTTATAACCATTTCCATTAGGTGAATCTTATACGACCTGACCCTAATTTCTTGACCACTGAGCACCGTCATGGCCGTGTTGATAAATCCCGTGACAGATTGGTCAATATGACCACGTAGACTTAGCATCATAGCCTCCGCAAGCTTGCAAGCGCAGATGCGGTCGACGTCTCCGACTTTCTGGTCTTGGAGGAACATGTCCTGGACCATTCCGTATAGAGCCTGGACGTATTCGGGCTTCTGGGCTAGTTGGCTGGCACCGTATTGGACAAAGTTGTCTAGGGCTGGCAGCATGTCCTCGAAGTACAACTCAGCGCCGGATTTGAATGTGCCGTGGATGAGCTCGAAGGCTTGCCACATAGTGGGCGAGATACTTTTCGCGGCAAAGGTACAACTGTCGATTATTTCGAAAACTTCATTATATAGATCTAAGACAACGTTAGTTAGCCAAACGACCAGAGGTAGAAATGCCAAATATATTTACCGTATAACCTGTTCTCTAAGGTGACTTGGATGACGGGCATTAGAACAGCCTCGATGTGCAGTAACACGTCAGGAGTGCTTTCTAATGTCAGGATTAGGGTGCCAATGGTCTGCAGAACACCCAAAGCAGTTATGCTCTTGTCGTCCAGGTAATCACCGAAATCA